GCGCACCGCTGCGGCCGCGCCAGCGCGCGCAAGCTCGCGCGCAGAGCGGCCGAGTAGTCTGGCACGACCGACGCGGCCGCGATGGCGCTGACCGCTGGGGACTACCCAGCGCGTCTCTCAAGGCGGGGCTGACGCGCGCGCAGGTCGGTGCGAGTCGGTGAATCGGGCGGGCGCGGTATCATGGCGACGTCGACAACGGCAGACACCAAGATAATAGTAGCGATGATGGTGACGATGCTGTCGGTGACGACGGCGAAGCCAAACACGGCGCAAATGCTGATCACGCCGATGACGACGATGGTGCCCACGTGCTGGTGGTGAAGGAAGCGTTTTGGAAAGATTGCGACATGCGCGCGCGGCCGACGCGAGCGAGCCGCCCGCAACGAACGATTTGACAAGGATCGCGCACCCCCTCCCCCCCCACAAGCGCGAAAAGGGGCTCGAATGTTTCCCACATGCGCGCGCGAGGAGACCGTTTGGTCCCATGTGATAACGCTGTTGGAAAATCGTGTTTGTCTAGCGAAGCAAACGCGCAAAAAAAAAAAAACGCGCGCTGGCTTGATCGAAAACAAGCCGCTGGAGTTTTGAAATTCCAGGAAACTCGATCTTGAGATCCGAACGATACCCCCCTAAATGTCGAATAAATTCGGCATGCGCGCCCGACGGCGCGCGCGTGCCGTCAGATCTGTTGCAAGAAAGCGTGATATTTGACGACTTGTGATAAACGAGCGCGCGCACAAAAATCAGAGTGAGGGGGGCCGAACGGTCATTCATTGCACCTGCGTGCGAGGCTGAATAAAGAATTCGTGGTGGGAATGTTGCTTATTGCGTACGTTTGATTGTAATTGGTGCTGTTGTTGTTGTTGTTGTTATTGGTGTTGTTATTGTTGTTGTTGTTTGTTGTCGTCGTCCCACCCGCAACTCACCCGCAACCCACCCCGCAACCCACCCGCGATCCACCCTGTGACCCACCCACGACCCACACGCGATCCACCCCGCGTCCCACCCGCGACCCACCCCGCGACCCATCCGCGACCCATCCGCGACCCACCTGCGACCCACCCCGCGACCCAGCCGCGACCCACCCCGCGACCCACCCTCAAGGAAGGAAAACCCACCCGGGCCCGACAACTGACGTCTACTAAATAGGAAATCGAACTCTATACACCGACGTTGTTCGGGCCCTGCATTGAAATTTGCACCTGAGAGCGGATCCTGGTGTATACGGGACCCTGGTGTTTACATGTTTCGCTGTTTACACGGGACATCGGGGGGATCAGGTTTTTTATATGTTTTACAACCCCCAAAAAGAATCGTCCCCGACATTCAAAAAGTCCTGGGATTGAAAAAACAACCCGCCACTGGTAATGTAGATGTTCAAGTTTCCGACTGAACGGCCCTGGGCGTTGACTAAACAGCCCTGCCCTGTTCGATTCATTCCTTGTGCGCGTTTGCTAAGCGGCTTCGATGTTCGGAGTGATTATTATGGGGTGGATTTTCTGCCCTCTACACCCGCGACCCACCCGCGACCCAACAGCGACCCACCCGCGACCGACCCACATTGGTTTGACGAACGAATCGGCGCCTGCGGCGGGCTCGTTGTATAATGTGTGAAACGTTGGCGCCTGCGGCGGGCTTATCCAGAGTCTCGCAAACTGCCGACGTCCCCACCGCCCCCTCACTCTTGTCCGCACCTGCGGGATGCTACGTAGTCTGGGGACGATTTCTTGCGCATGTGTGTTGCTATGTTTGCGCATGTCTTGAATCAGAGTGAGGGGGCCGAACGGTCATTCATTGCCCCTGCGTGCGTGGCTGAATAAGGAATTCGTGGTGGGAATTCTGTTTGTTGCGTTGATGTTGTTGGTGTTGTTGTTGGTGTTGTTGTTGGTGTTGTTGGTGTTGTTCTTGTTGTTTGTCGTCGTCGTCCCACATGCGACCCACCCGCAACCCACCCCACGACCCACCCGCGACCCACCCTGTGACCCACACACGACCCACCCGCGACCCACCCCGCGACCCACCCGCGACCCACCCCGCGACCCATCCGCGACCCATCCGCGACCCACCCGCGACACACCCCGCGACCCAGCCGAGACCCACCCCGCGACCCACCCTCAAGAGAGGAAAACCCAGCCGGGCCCGACAATTGACGTTTCCTAAACGGCCCTGGGCGTTGACCAAACAACGCTGCCCTGTTCGATTCACTCCTTGTGCGCGTTTGCTAAACGGATTCGATTTTCGGAGTGATTATTATGGGGTGGATTTTCTGCCCTCTACACCCGCGACCCACCCGCGACCCAACAGCGACCCACCCGCGACCGACCCACATTGGTTTGACGAATGAATCGGCGCCTGCGGCGGGCTCGTTGTATAATGTGTGAAACTTTGGCGCTTGCGGCGGGCTTCTCCAGAGTCTCGCAAACTGCCGACGTCCCCACCGCCCCCTCACTCTTGTCCGTATCTGCGGGATGCTACGCATTATTTTTCTGGGGTGAGGGGGGGTCGATACTTACTGGCTCGGCTGAGACGGTACGACTTCAGACTTAAGATGAACGATGGGGTAGAATCATACGTGAATCGTGGCATCCCAGGGGGAGGCGCGAATCCTCGGGGGGAGGTCCTCATTCACTTGAAGACAGGAGAATACACGATGCTCGCACGGTCGAAATCGCAACCAAAAAAGCGGTGCGGCGACGGACGACGGCGACGGGCGGCGACAGGGAACCACGAGCGGGCCAGACCGACGCACAGGCCCGGCTCCTCATGAGAGGAGCCAGAAGGACACCGAAATGCAAGCACGGCTTGGGCAACCATAAGGGCATGCACTGTCTGGGAAGAACAGCGATGTGCAAGAACACCGAAGTGCAAGGCCCGGTTCCTTGTGAGAGGAGCTAGAAGGACACCGAAGTGCAAGCACGGCTTGGGCAACCATAAGCGCAAGCACTGTCTGGGAAGACCAGCGACGTGCGAGCACACCGAAGTGCAAGGCCCGGTTCCTTGTGAGAGGAGCTAGAAGGACACCGAAGTGCAAGCACGGCTTGGGCAACCATAAGGGCATGCACTGTCTGGAAGACCAGCGACGTGCAGGAACACCGAAGCGCAGGCACCGTTTGGGAAGCAATAAATGCCGTGACTGACTACCTACCAGACCACCCCAACCCAACCCGAAGGCACGAATTTGACCCGAATTTCGGGTTGGGGGGGGTACGGGGACCATGTGTTGTTTCGACGTTCCCCGATCCCCCCCCACTGGAAATGGAGGGCAAATTGAGGCCTTCGGGTTGGGTTGGGGTGGTTTGGTGGGTGCTGAGTGACCAGGTCATGGCCTGGGCAACCCTAAGCGCAAGCTCTGTCTGGGAAGACCAGCGACGTGCGAGCACACCGAAAAAAAAGCAAGGGCACCGCTTGGGAAGCAGTAAATGCCGTGACCAGGTCACGGCTTGGGCAACCCTAAGCGCAAGCTCTGTCTTTGAGGGATGAAAAAACAGCCCTACCCTGGGTTACAAGTGCGCGGTCTGTAAACCTCCTGGGAACCCCCAAAGCCTAGAGCCGCCAGGACACGGCACATCACGCAGGGTTTACCCTGTCAAGCCCACAGGAGTTTCAGCGCACAGCGCCTCGTAAACCAGGGTAGGGGCGTTTTTTCTGTCCTTGATGTCTGGGAAGGCCAGCGGCGTGCGAGCACACCGAAAAGTGCCAAAAGGGCACCGCTTTTGGGAAGCCGCCGGTGCCGCGACCCGGCCGCCGGAGCGGCGAAAAGGCGGCGGCGACGGGCGGACCCACGAGCCGGCCAGGAGCCGGCGCACGGGCCGGGGGCTCCTCACCGGGGGGAAGGATGAAGGGGCCATGGGACACACAAATACACCCTGCGAAATGCTTAAGAAATCATGGGTTAAGAAACTCAGAGTCTCAGAATTTGAATAAGAACCCAGAACTTCTATTAAAATCTTAGGATTTACATTGAAGCATTAAGAATAATCGAGACTCTCGCCGAAAACTTAGGTTTTCTTAAGCATCGCCTAGGGTGTACTCCAGATTTCGTAAGAAAGGGAGGGGGGTCTCATTTCGGGGGGGGGGGCTCTTCCAGGCCATCTTGGAGGGCCTGGGGGGGTCTGGGGACGAGGTTTTGGAGGGTTCTCCCACGGGGGGGGGGGGGGTCTGAAATGGCTTGTCTTGGAGGGTCCAGGCCCCCTCCCTTTTATTACGACATCCGGAGTAAATACACACAAATAGCAGGATTCCCAATATTTTCCCACACTTCCTGGGTTTCTGCCTTCCCCCCCACTTCCCATATATGTTCCCATGCTTTCTTGGAAATCGGCGATTGATTGTGTCTGTGTGCTTCTTTCCCTCCTGAAAGAAGGACAACCGAGTGCAAGCATCGGGGATGGACAGAGCCCCCGTTTAAGCAGCACGTGGTTTGGTGAAAACGAACTCGGGCCCAAACCTGGCGGGCGCAGGCCTGGAGAATGACGGCCTCGGCGCCCGCCCGAGAGCCGAAAACGGACCATTCGCAAATCGACGTGTCATGGTAGGGTTCTGCCCACCCCCGAAAGCACTGTTGGGGGAATCTCCAAAAACGTCTGAGCCGTCGGGCGTCGGCGTCGAGCCGCCTCGCGCCGGCCGAAAGCCCGACCGGGCCCGAGGCAGCAGCTGCGGGCAGGGGGCGGGAAAAGCTGCGGCGGCCAGCCGCGAAGCGATAAAGCTCCATATGGGTGGTCGGCCCCAGGCGGTGCGTCAGCGTCCGTGGCCTGCCTGTGCACAGCTGGCCGCGGTTCACCAGCCTCGAACGTATCCCTATCCTCAAGATTGTCACGCCAAAGGGCGACGACAAGCTCAGGGATGCGCCCTGACAAAATGGGGGAATCCCTGAGATTGGCACTGTGTTGAGGCGATGCCCAGCTCAGGGATAGGGATATGCTCCAGGCTGGCACGCGGCAGCACGTGCTGCGGAGCGACCGCCCCTCTGCGCGGAGGCCGGGAGGCGGAGCGGCCCGCGCCTCGTCCGCGCCCTCGCCGTAGTTGATGTACAGCGCCATGGGCGACTTCCAACTCGGGCTCCTGCTGGGGGCCGCAGGACATCTCGAGGAGGCGCAGAGGGAAGCAGGCCAGCTGCCGAGGGCGAGCCAAGGAACAGGGGCGAGGGGAGTGGAGGAGGTGGAGTGAGCTCGTGTGGAGGCTCCTGGGCGTGACAGCTACTTGAACTTTGCCAGCCCGGGCTGGCACTCCAAGACTTCGAATCGCGTCGTAACAGCAGCCTCCCGTTACCAAGCGACGATGCCGTCCCTACCCAGCCTCGAGGCTGCCTCGAGGCTGCCTTGAGGGAACGTCTGCGAACTGCCTCGAGAGAACGGCTTGGAACTTTGCCTCATCCCGAGGACCAATGCCTTGTGATCAGGGCTAAGGTAGTTTGGGACATCGTAAAGCAAGGGACCTGAGCTGGGCCTTGTTTGCTTTGGGGAGGAGGAGGAGGAGGAGGAGGAGGAGGAGGAGGAGGCG